CAAAATGGATTAAAGACTTGAATATAATACCTGAAACCATAAAACTCCTAGAAGAAAACATAGGCAGTCAGCTCTCTGACATCTGTCTTAACAATATTTTTTTGGACCAGTATCATCAGGCCAGGGCAACAAAAGCAAAAATAAACAAATGGGACTACATCAAACTAAAAAGCTTTTGCACAGTGACAGAAACCAATGAAACAAATAAGCAACCTGCTGAATGGGAGAAGATATTTGCAAATCATACATCTGTAAGGGGTTAATATCCAAAATATATAAAGAACTTACATAACTTAATATTAAAAAAACAAACAACCTGATTAAAAAATGGGCAGAGGATTTGAACAGATATTTTTCCAAAGAAGACATACAGATGGCCAACAGGCACATGAAAAGATGCTCAACATTACTAATCATTGGGGAAATGCAAATCAAAACCACAATGAAATATCACCTCACACATGTTAGAATAGCTATTATAAAAAACAAAAAATAACAAGTGTTGGTGAGGATTTGTAGAAGAGAGAGCCCTCGTACACTGTTGGTGGGAATGTAAACTGGTGCAGCCACTACAGAAAACAGTATGGAGGTTCCTCAAAAAATTAAAAATAGAACTACCATAAGATCCAGCAACTCCACTTCTGGGTATTTAATCCAAAGAAAACGAAAACACTAATTCAAAAAGACATATGCACCCCTATGCTCACTGCAGCATTATTTACAACAGTCAAGATATGGAAGCAACCTAAGTGTCTACAGATAATGAATGGATAAATACACACACACACACACACACTGGAATACTTCTCAGCCATAAAAAAAGAATGAGATCTTGCCATTTGTGACAACATGGATGGACCTAGAGGTTACAATGCTAGGTGAAATAAATCAGAAAGACAAATACTGTATGATTTCAGTATATGTGGAATCTGAAAAAACAACACAAAACAAATGAACAAACCAAACAAAATGGAAACAAACTCACAGATACAGGAAACAAACTGATGGTTACCAGCGGGGTAGGGGGTGGGGGGAGATAAGGGGCAGGTGAAATAGATGAAGGGGATTAAGAGGTACAAACTTCCAGTTATAAAATAAATAAGTCATGGGGTGGGGATGTAAGGTACAGCATAGGGAATATAGTCAATAATATTGTAATAATTTTGTATGGTAACAGATGATAACCAGACTTATCATGGTGATCAAATATTTTGTAATGTACATAAATATCAAATCACTGTGATGTACACTTGAAACAAATACAATACTGTATGTCAATTATACTTCAATTAAAAAAATTTGTTTTCAATGGTTTTAGCAAGCTTTACCCTTTAATATTATTAATTACTTTCTTATTTATTTATTTATTTTAACAAACAATCACTAAAAGTTCTGCACTAATTTGAGATTGAAATCTCTTTGTTTTTAAAGGAGCCAACAAATACTGAAGGTGCACATTTTGTTGTCTGGAACATTCATTTTCAAAGAATGGTTGAAAGCCTAAGGTGAGGTGTGGCTGTTAGAACTACTCCATTACCTCCTAATTTACACGTCCCAATTAATTTCTGCCCCTAAATCAGTCTTAACCACCAGCTATGAAAAAGTACATTAACATTTAATAAAGAAATGCCTGAATAACAGAAATATACAATTTTGATTAACTAAATAAGGTATATGAAAAGGGCAAAACTATAATTATGTTTTAAGGAAGTTTAAATACCCGTTATTTTTAGAAAATAATGAAAAAATCAGAAATTTAAACTAAATAAAAGAGTAGTCTGAATAAGTGAACAGTAAATCATAAGGTAGCTACTGAACTATTGAAAGGCAGTTTTATTAATTTAAAGTTACTTTTTCTAAGTAACTACAATCTATGAATATATGTTGATATGTGTCACATTTCCTTGCATGGTTTATACACCTAAATATTAGTTCTTTTATGAAAGCACATTTAACAGCGTGATTTACATTTTTACTTAAATCTAGCTGAGTTTGAGTTATTGCAAATATTGAATTAAATCCAAATTAATGAGATTTTAGGGTAATTATAAAGAGAATAAGAAGTTCTTTGAAAAGAGAAACATAACCTAATAATATTCCTAAAAATAATTTTATAATATTCTTGTTTAGAAAGGTATACTACAATTTACTGCAGAACTGTTACCTTAGGAATATTTTCTGGATAATTCTAAACAAATTCCCATCAAGTATTGAATAACAACACAGTGTTGCATTCTATGTTTTAAAAAATTCATTAAAACTAATAACCAAAATTATGTAAGGGCCACGTTAATGAAATTTTGTATGAAAAAATCAACTTATAATTAGGAAACCATGTGATATCTCAAAATCAATACTTGAACAGCTCATAAATATACATGAAATAATTACAATGTTGACATTTGTATTAACTCACATCTTATGAAAATCTTACTAACTGTGATCAGTGTGAAATTGACATAGAGTATATCTTATCACAGTGTTCTATAATTGTTAGTTTGCTATCCACCTCCTCCAACTAAGCTGTAAACTCTACAGAGGCATTGATTATATCTCATATCCACAGTGACCAGTGGAGCACCTGGCACTTAGCAGGGACTCAAATATTTGTATATTAAAACCAAATCATTGCAGGGAAAAAACTAAAAATTTGAAAGTAATTCAGACCTCCCCAAAGATGTCTGGTTCCTAGATTGTCCTTTAGATCTTCATCTACTGGTTTAAAAATTTCTGACTCTAAAAGTGAAGGATGGCTTTTCACTTTGGATTTTGGAATTTAAAATGTTGACTTTTTTCCTAGAAAATGGCCTTAATCATACAAATGTTCATATATTCATATTAAAAATTGAGAAAAGATAGAAGTATAAGAAGAAAATTTTAAAGATTACAAATATCTATACCAATTGAAGATAACAAAATTTCACTAGATTACTACCTTTTACTTCAAATAAACTGGATTTTATTTTCTAAAACTTTCTCTATAGTCTACCAAAAGAATCTCTGGGAGATATAATAATACCCATTAAAGGCTGGATCTAAGGATTAGAAAAATTAAATGGCTTGTTCAGAATCACAGAGAAAATAATTTTTAAGGTTTTCATGATTTTGTGACTAGTGACTATGGTCATGAAAATATCTGCAAAAAACTAACAATAAATCAAAATGTATTTAGCAATAAACCCATGAATAAGTCATATTACACTAATTTCTCCCTTTTCCATAAACAATTTATTGTTTGCAATGTGATCCCTGAGTGGGAATAAAAAAATTACTTTCTTACAGCTTAACATTATATGATTTGCCCCAAAAAGATAACAATAGAAGATGATAATACAACTGAAGCATACTCACATGAACAAAATCAAATACATATGTGAAATAGTAGAAATAGCATGGAAGTAGGAATAGAGAAAGGTTCTCATTTCATATCTGCTAATATCTAGCTTTTTGATCATAGGCAAAACTACTTAACTTCTCTGGACCTTAATTTTTCTCATTGTGAAATGAAGAGGTTACTCTTAAGTCTAAAGCATCATTTCCGAAACTGTTCTAGAAAATACTTTCTATGAGATGTCAATAGATAATTTGGGGGGTGGGGATAAAAAGGTCTAATGAATTTTGGATACACTGCATACTACCAAGAAATTGATGCTACCAACATAGAATTATGGCCAAGGTCACCCAGTATGGTTGGCAGCCTCTAAGATATCTCCCAATGTTCTCCACCTTCTGACATTCATACTTTTATAATCCCCTCCCCTTGAGTTTAGGCTGGATTTATTAACTCATTTATAATGAACAGAATACGGCAGGAGTGATGAGATGCCACTCCTGAGATTAGGTTATAAAAAGACTGTGGTTTCCACGCTGGCTGTCTGCTCTCAGCTGCCACGTTGTAAGGCAGCCCTGTGGAGTGGCCCACGTAAGTGAGCTTGGAGGCAGATATTCTGAGGCTGTCAATAGCCATGTGAGTGCACTTGGAAGTAAATCTTCCCCTAGTCAAGCCTTCAGATGAGACTGCAAGGCCTGGCTGACACCTTGATTGTAATCTTGTGAGAGATCTTGAGCTAGAACCACCCAGCTAAGTTGCTCCCAGATTCCGGATTCACCTAAATGAGGTGATAATAAAGGTTTGTTGTTTTCAGCTGTTAAGTTTTAGGTTAATTTGTTAAACAGCGATAGATAACTAATACACCCAAATACCTGGACCTTTTTTTTTTTTTTTTTGCCATTGCTACATCCCTTGAAACATTCCCGAGACTATTTTACAAACAAGGAACAACAGCAAAGTATTAATATTGCTAATCCAATACTTAATGTTTAGCTCTGGTAAAGCTGGATCAGAACATTTAACTTAGATTCAAGGCCTAAGTGAGGCCTTCATAATGCGTCCATGCCAAAATGCAATTTGTAAGGCCACATGGTACAGAAACCTTTACTAGCAAGCTTAGGGTAAGAAAGAGCTTACCGCTATGATTGGGCCTGCTAAGAACTAAGCCTTTCCTGGTCCTATTTAAAATACATAGGCTAAGCAGGAATGTATGACCTTTGAGCAGATAGAGACACTGTCTGCTAGTGAACATGGTCCAGTCAACATCTAGACTCTGAAAAATCAGATTAATTATTTCCACCTGAGATGACTAAAAAAGGAGGGGGGTAGAAAGGCTTAATTGTTCCTTTCTCTATTTCCTAACTAAATTGCTCTCTACCAAGAAGTCCCATGGTCAAATCAACTAGGGAAATACGGCCTAATTTACCAACCTCTTGAAGATGTTATATGCACACTACACGTTAAAGGTTCTGAGAAGTTCTTCAGTAAAGACAGCTGTTGTTTTAACGTAGCATTTCTCTGACATCTGACAAGTAAACCTTTTTTCTACAAAAACTCCTTAAAATTTTGTGGAAACTTAACTTTAAAGAATCTCTAAAGCCTTTTTCTCTCCTAAATAAAGTGTTCTGTGATTATACTTTAACTATTTAAAAAACTTCTGACATCTTACCTTGCCAAGCTGCTGTAGAAATTTCAAGTGTCTCTCTTCAAACTGTGTAGGGTCTCGGTCTTCAAAAGCACCAGAAAACCCTAGGGCACCTATCCTCATATTTGGTAACATGTCATTTTCTGTTAATAGTTCATAATCTGGAGAAATAAAGAATATTACCACCATAAGCTGGCAAATACATTCTCTGGGTTAAACTGATATATATTCAAGCTAACCAAAATAATCAGAATGAATTAGAAATACTAAATACAAATGGATACAGGGAAACTCAAATAGTTTAGATTATGTTAATGAAAGCTTTAATTATTACTCATAATCTGACAGGCTTTCAAGAAAGATTTTTGCAAATAATAAATGATTACCTTCCAAAACAGGTAGTTTTAATATTTATAAAGTAAGCTTATATTCAGACTTTTGTGGTGAGAATGGCAAGTAGTATTGGAACAGGAAATACCTATACACATGCATATTTAGCTACATTTTTAAAGGAGACGAGAACAAACAAAACCAAATCTACTTTATATTTAGAAAATCAATCAATTATAAAATATATGAGAACTAGTTAAAAAAAAACAGAAAGAATTGTTTTTAAGAAGTCAAATAAACCAAATAAACTTCTATAGTAAACTACTCTGGTAAACTAAAATTAGATTTTTGAAGGAGAAAAAGCCTTTTTTCAAAATAAAAAGACTGCTCAATCAAGGAGACTAGAATATTTATAAAGTAGGAAAAGTCATATGAACATAATAAGAAATTAAGAGGGTCTAAAAGACATCAAGGAACTTCTTGGAAGGAATTACAAAATTAGTAAAGATTTGTTAAATACAACAAAGACAGAAAGCTGGAGAATCAATAAGATTGCTACATCAATACATACCTGGAGTAAACAAACTATTAAGATCACGTATGATGGCTCTGAAAGAAGGTCTAAAATCTGGTTCGTAATCCATACAATTATTAATAAGATTTGCTAATTCTGTCCACTTTGGTGCAGGAAGCTGGTGCCTATCTTCATAAAACTGTAGCTTCTATAATTAAAGAACCACACATTTAGAATAAATTGTATAATGCTGTACCAACCTTCTTTTTAACATTAGATGGGCTAAAAAAATATCAAAATCATGTGAAAGAAATATCAAGGATCACAGATAGAGTAATTCCAACTTCACAGTCCATATAAACTTACTCTTTGAGAATCCAAAGCACTCAGAGGCTTATCTCCTCCACTGCAGATTTCCCACAAAGTGGTACCAAAACTCCATTTGTCTGTTGCCAAGTTTAGATTTTTAGGATTTTCAATGCATTCAGGTGGTACCCATGGTATTCTCTCCTGAAGAACTTTTAAACGATAGGAACCAAAGTATGGTTAAAAAGTTCCCACAAGTAAACAGTTCTTTAATATGCAAATAATTTTCAAACTGATTTGAATAATCAGGCCTTTTTTATTTGTTTGGGGGGTGTGTGTGCACATAGCATGAAAGGAACTAGCTTAAGAGCTAGAAAGGAACTTTGATATCATCTAATTCAATATCTCAGCTTTAACATGAAAACACTGAGAACCATAAAAAGTGAATAATTTGGCCAAAGTCACACAATTTGTTAGCAGCATGGAGAGAATGAGAATCCTGTACAATGAATCCTGGATCAACTGAACTTCTTTCCATTAAACCATAGTGTCTCAACTAGTATCCCACTCTCTTTACCCTTTCCTATTAGCTCTGAATTCAATAAAAAATTTTTTGCATAAGATTTGTCCTAAAATTGCCTCTTGATTTTGTATTTCTTTACAATGTGTAAATAGTAATGTTAACATCATTCCAAACTATTCTAATGATTAATAGCAGTGGCGATTCTAACTTGCAGATGAAAAAACAAGGACCAACAGGCAGATGGATGACTAAACTATACCAAGATATTCTGGGTACATAATTGATATAGGTAGGTTTTGCTCCGATCATGGAAATTCCCCAGTAAAGTTTCTGTGGTCTTTGACCCCATCAGAAAAATGATATTTAAGGAAAGAGGGGGCACTTTAACTCTACATTCTGGTATTCTGGCACAGATAGACAGACAGACAGACAGATAGATGACAGATAGATAGATTGGTAAATAAATAAATAAGTAAGAATGAAGGATAATCTGTTGCATCTTTTGGTATATTTTGATAAGGCAACGTGAATATTTTTGCAATATAATTAAGAGATTAAAAAGTACAAGTTCCTTTCTCCTTCACCATATGAATACATTTTCTCCTTCTTCACCTCCCATTCCAAAGCATAAAATTTCCCTGAGTACCAGATCTAAGATTCTATAACATTTTCTGCCCTATTATGTCTTCACTGTCAGATAAAGCTACCAAGTTTAAGTACTATTGGCTCAAACAGGATACCATGCATCAATGCACAAAAGCTGATCAATTTAGATTCTAAATTTAGAATATTCAATTCGAGAAATTAGCTAAGATAACAACATACAATTACAACATTATTTGGACCAAAAAAACTCCTCTTAACTATTTGACTTAAATTTTTACTTTAACTAATTGTGTGAAATAGAAGGTTAACAAACACAAAAAAAAGCTTTTTAAAAAAATCACAATTAGCTGAATAATTAAACTAAATAAGATCTCAAACTAGATAATATATATTCTCAAATTTTTATTTAGTGACTAAAGGAAAGAAAAATTTCGAAAATTTACTTGTGGCTCAAAGAATGATATTAGAAAATTTCACATTAAAAAATGGATAAAATCTGAACTTTCACACATAATTAGGGATTAAAATTGTTTTAAAAACTCATCTTATAGTCGATAATAACATGATTATAAGAAAGAAGAAATGGACAGAGACCTGGATGTAACTATAACTTAATTTAGATTGCTAAAAATGGTAGCTAAATTTTATTATTAATCAAGAACATGTCAATAAAATAGAGTTTGATAAAAATTAACAACATGCTTTTTATGCTGCTCGCCAAGTAAAGCTTAATAAAGTTAAATGCAATCCCTGTAGAACTTACTGTCCTTTGGCAAAACTGTAATACTAATGCCAGGATCACTAAGTTTGATGAAAGGAGGATTTCCTGTCTTCCTGTCTTCTTCTCTGATAAGTAGAATATTTTTGGCGCACACATTCCCATGAACAAGGGCTTTTTCTTCCTATTAAAGTTAAATGCACATACATTCAAATATCAATCCACAAATATTTGAGCACTTAATATCTCCAAGGCCTCAAAATGGACTTAAAGAAGAAAAATAAGTCAGATAGTATTAACTAATAAACATTAATTTGGAGACATGCTTTGAGATAATAAAAGGAAATTTTATGGCAGCACTGTGCTTACTGTTTTACATTTTAAATGACACAATAATCTATACCCATGATGAAATGAATACATTAAATCTACCCAATGCCACTTCACTTTCTAAAGCTGAGATTTTAAATAGTATATATTGCTAGATGGTAGGTGACAGTAAGAAACACTGTTTATGTTCAGCAGCAAGATAGGGATCTGATCAGCGGCTGGCCCTCTGGTATTCCATTCCTCTAGCAATATTGCTTTCTTATTAGACATAATGTCCAATTGCCCACAAATACCATAACGAAGTATTTTCTGCAGGGATTTTCTGCTGTCCACAGTTAACAAAACATATTTCTGCATAATATTTGGTTAAATTCTCTAAACCCAAGTGACACAAACTACAGTGTCCGTCAGCAGTTCTAAGAGATTGATGAGATGACAAAACTACTTCTTTCAAAAGTGATTTTACATAAAGAAATACATGCCTAAAATAATCCCTTTCACCAACTAACAGATTATTTTAAATGACTCAGCATCCATTTGCAGATTTATTTCCTGTTCTCAGGTCAAGATCCTTTCTACATTACACTGTTTCTTAAGATAAAACAATAAGTTTTGATAAAAGAATAAATTAATTACTTACTAGAAAATGCATGGCCCACGCCAATTGTTTAGCCACTTCAAGTTTCCATAATATATTTATAGAATTTTTATTCTTTTTCAGATATATATCTAGTGATCCAAATTTTACAAACTCCTGAACCAGAATATCTGCATTAAAATATAATAATAACAATAAGGCTCAAGTGCACATACAATAAAAATATATACTTTTAAACTTTTATAAATACATTCATAGTTATACATGGGTATTATAGGTAAAGAGATTAAACTACGTAAAATTCACTAATTTTAAAAAAGCTAACAGCTGTATACCACTGGATTTTTGGGTTTTAGTTTATTCACAACAGTAAGAGGTAAGAGACTAAACAATTATATATATATATAATTATATATAACAAATAATACATAACCATATTACATAACATTATTATATATATTATATATATTGTATTATATTTTTATATATATATAGACATAATATATAATATTACTCCAATACACCTCTATGTCTTAGTACTGAATTATGGCTGCTTTTTCAAAACAAATGAAAATTTCACATAGTTAATTTCTCTTCCACAAAACTATTTAGGCCTTCAAAACTTCCTGAAATTCTTCTTCCACACACAAAACTAATAGCAACGTCTGTTCTATTGTAGGCATAAAGGAGAATCTGAGTTCAAACTCCATTCATCCTTTTAATTTATGCTAAAAAAATGAGTGTTTTTGCATTGCTTTAACTTTAAAACAATTTTTTAAAAATACTATTAAAATATATCTTGCCAGAGAAACAAGTGTTTGCTTCTAAAAACAGTCCTGCCTTTAAGACACAGATAAAAATTCCCCACTCTGTTAGTTTTGACCAAGTTCTCAAAAGTCAAGACTGTTTCAGGGGCTGGCCTGGTGGCGCAAGCGGTTAAGTGCACACGCTCTGCTGTGGCGGCCCGGGGTTTGCCGGTTTGGATCCCGGGCGTGCACCAATGCACTGCTTGGCAAGCCATGCTGTGGCGGTGTCCCATATAAAGTGGAGGAAGATGGGCATGGATATTAGCCCAGGACCAGTCTTCCTCAGCAAAAAAAAAAGGAGGAGGATTGGCAGATGTTAGCACAGGGCTGATCTTCCTCACAAAAAAAAAAAAAAAGTCTAAAGTGTTTCTACGTAAAGGCATGTTATTTAATAGAGTAATTAACTGGGTTTAGGGTTTATTTATAGTCATCTAGTAATAATTTGTAATGGAGTAAGCTCAGGTAATCAATTTCAAATCTGAATTTATTGAAATTATTTTGTTGTTTCTAAAGCATAAACAGTAGGTTATATAAATGAGAAAAAAAGGATTTTGGTGGGGTTTTTTTTTTGTGCAGGGAAATAGTCACCGTAAGCTAACATCTGTTGCCTATCTTTCTCTTTTTTTTTCTCCCCAAAGCCCCAGTGCATGGTTGTATATCTTAGTTGTAAGTCCTTCTAGTTCTTCTATGTGAGCCACTGCCACAGCATGGCAACTGACAGACAGGTGGTGTGGTTCTGCAACCGGGAAACAAACTCAGGCCACCAAGGCAGTGATACTGAGACTGCCGAACTTGAACTACTAGGCCATCAGGGCTGGTTCAGATTTTGGTTTTTAACTAAAAAATGGACCCATATTGGGGCTGGCCTAGTGGCACAGTGGTTAAGTTCGTGCATTTCGCTTTGGCGGTCCAGAGTTCACGGGTTCAGATTCTGGGCACAGACCTACACACCGTTCATCAAGCCATGCTGTGGCGGCGTCCCACATACAAAAAATAGAGGAAGATTGGCACAGATGTTAGCTCAGGGACAATCTTCCTCACCAAAAAAAAGGACCCATATGCAACATTATCCTGATACCAAAACCAGACATGGACAACACAAAAGAAGAAAATTACAGGCCAATATTACTGATGAACACAGATGCAAAAATCCTCAACAAAATATTAGCAAATCAAATACAACACTATTAAAAGGATCATACACCATTATTATCAAGTGGGACTTATTCCAGGATGCAAGAATCACTCAACATCCACAAATGAATCAATGGTATACACATTACAAAATGAAGAATAAAAATCACACGATCATCTCAATAGATGCAGAGAAAGCATTCGACAAGATACAGCATCCAGATATGATAAAAACTAGGAATAAAATGAGTATAGAAGGAAAGTACCTCAACATGATACAGGCGATATATAACAAACCCACAGCTAACATCATATTCAATGGTGAAAAACTGAAAGCTTCCCTCTAAGAACAGGAACAAGACAAGGATGCCCACTTTTGCCACTCTTATTTAACATAGTACTGGAAGTTCTACACAGGGCAGTTCCACAAGAAAAAGAAATAAAAGGGATCCAAATCGGAAAGGAAGAAGTAAAACTGTCACTATTTGCAGATGACATAATACAATGTACAGAAAACCCTAAAGAACCCACCAAAAAAGCTATTAGAAATAATAAACAAATACAGTAAAGTTGCAGGGTATCAAATCAACGTGCAAAAATCAGTTGCATTTCTATACATGAACAACGAATTAGCAGAAAGAGAAATTAAGAATACAATCCCATTTACAATCACAACAAAAAGAATAAAATACCCAGGAATAAACTTAACCAAAGAGGTGAAAGATCTGTACACTGAAAACTATAAAACACTGTTGAAAGAAATCAAAGAAGACACAAAGAAATGGAGAGATATTCTGTGCTCATGGATTGGAAGAATTAACACAGTTAAAATGTCTATACTTCCTAAAGCAATCTACAGATTCAATGCAATCCCTATCAAAGTTCCAACAACATTTTTCACAGACATAGAACAAAGAATCCTAAAATTAATATGGAACAACAAAAAATCCTGAATAGCCAAAGCAATCATGAGAAAAAAGAACAAAGCTGGAGGTTATCACACTCCCTGATTTCAAAAATAACTACAAAGCTACAGTAATCAAAACAGCAATGGTAGTGGCACAAAAACAGACAGATCAATGGAACAGAATCAAGAGCCCAAAAATAAACCCACACATCTGTGGACAGCTAATTTTTGACAAAGGAGCCAAGAACATACAGTGGAGAAAGGAAAGTCTCTTCAATAAATGGTGCTGTGAAAACTGGACAGCCACATGCAAAAGAATGAAAGGAGACCATTATCTTTCACCATACACAAAAACTAACTCAAAATGGATTAAACACTTGAATGTAAGACCTGACACCATAAAACTCCTAAAAGAAAATATAGGCAGTACACACTTTGACATCAGTCTTAGCAGCATCTTTTTGAATACCATGTCTACTCAGGCATGGGAAACAAAAGAAAAAATAAACAAATGGGAGTACACCAGACTAAAGAGTTACTGCAAGGCAAATGAAACCATGAACAAAACGAAAAGACAACCTAACAACTGGGAGAAGATATTTGCAAATAATATGTATTTGATAAGGGGTTAATATCCAAAATATATAGAGAACTCATACAACTCAACAACAAAAAAACAAACAATTGAATCAAAAAATAGGCAGAGGATCTAAACAGACATTTTTGCAAAGAAGGTATACAGATGGCCAACGGGCACAAGAAAAGATGTTCAACATCACTAATTATTAAGGAAATGCAAATCTAAACTACAGTGAGATATAACCTCCTGCCTGACAGAATGGCTATTATTAAAAAGACAAGAAATAACAAGTGTTGGAGAGGATGTGGAGAAAAGGGAACCCTTATACACTGCTGGTGGGAATGTAAACTAGCGCAGCCACTATGGAAACCAGTATGGAGACTCCTTAAAAAATTAAGAATAGAACTACCATATGATCCAGCTATTCCACTTCTGGATATTTATCCAAAGAACATGAAAACCCATATTTGAAAAGATATATGCACCCCTATGTTCACTGCAGCATTATTCACAATAGCCAAAGACTTAGAAACAACCTGCCCATCAATGGATGAATGGATAAAGATGCGGTGAATATACACAACGGAATACTACTCAGCCATAAAAAGATGAAATCTTGCCATATGCAACAACTTGGATGGACCTTGAGGGCATTATGCTAAGCGAAATAAGACAGACAGAGAAAGCCCAATACCATATGATTTCATTCATATGTGGAAGATGAAAACAATAACAACAAACACACACATAAACATAGAGAATAGACTAGTGGTTACCATTGGGGAAGATGGGAGGGGGGAGGGTAAAAGGGCACATGTGTATGGTGACAGATGGTAATTAGACACTGGGTGGTGAACATGCTGTAGTCTACAGAGAAATCAAAACATAATGATGTACACTGGAAATTTATATTATGTTATAAACCAGTTACCTCAACTAAAAAAGGAAAATTAAGATAAAATAAAAACCACAAAAATTCAAGTAAAAATTTTAAGCATGGCATCACGATGTGTATTTTTAAAGAAATTCTGACAGACTTTCACATTGTAATCCATGTTAGTTCATGGCCCAGTAAATTATTAAGCACCTGTACTGCATACATGTCTATGCTTCATAAATTTGCTTTAAACTGCAAACTGTAGATCTAATCTCAAATTGTGATTCTGCTTGATCTAATATTAAAATTACTTAGTTTTCACTTGGTATATAACAACTGTTAGTGACAAAAGTTGCTTTTGGACGTTGCTGGGTAACTAAAACAAATTTCATGACAGTTTTGCCGTCCATAGTTAATTTGGGGAACAATCCACATGCCAATATTTAAGAATTGACTGCAAGTACATTTACATCAGGGCAGGTGTTGAAAGAAAAAAGATCTAGGAGTTACAATGAATAAGAACTTAAAAAATTTTATGTGGCATTTAAGACTACTATATTTCCAGGATACCACTGATTGTCATATGCCCCGTTATTTCATGTGTCGTAAAAGAAAAAAAAAAATTGGCAAACTATGGTTTGCCATCGATTATATCACACTTTGCAGTTTCAAATACTTTTAAATGTGAAAAGTGCATCACAGACTCAATAAAGTAAGTATAAAAGCAAGTGAAAGAACCAGGATTATATACTCTAAAACACTGTTTTCAAACTTTGTAAAGAAGTGTATTCTTTTTTCCCCAAATGAAAAATTATGAGAAACATCAATAAATAAAAAGAGATAAATGTAGAACCACTCTAGCTGCGGAATGACTGGGCAGAACTCTCCACCACTGCATTTAGATTTACTCTCACTTCATCAACTCCCTGCGATACCTGAGATACCTCCACAGAACAGATTTGAAAACCATTGCCTTTGAAAAGACTATCAATTTTCAAAAAAGACATGAAGAAATGTTATATAAGTATGGATGTGTATTTAATCCACGTGACTAATGGAAAATGGGGAATTACATAAGTAATTTTCTGAATGTAAACTTGGTGAGTTTTTATGAACAGTCTAAATTTAGCCACAGAATACAGCTAATGTGAACATCCAATCATTTCAGTCAGTTCCATTAAAAATTCAGTCTATCATTTATATGCTTTGTCTTCATAATTCCAAATAAATTTGTACTGAAATGGCCAGTTATTCCAATGTTATGTTGATCCGACCATAATCTGTATTGCTATGGTTAACAGAAAAGGTTGTAAGACATTTGCTTACTATATACTCTACTGTTTTGGTATTTTAACATAAGGCATATTAACTGTTTTCTGCATTTTAATTTCAGTCTCTGGTTTCCCATTCTAGAAGACAACTGAATAGTTCTACAATATTTTTGGTTTCAACAATATTTAACCCCTGTTAAATTATGGTTTATACTGATACCTAACTATGATCCTGAAATTGAATTTTCTACATAAACGAAAATGGATGTTCTGAGAAAGGCATACCATTAACATAAGGAAGCCAGTGGTTTTACTTACTCTCCTCTCCACAGACACATACTCCATAATTTAAAACCAGATATTTGTGAGAGAGCTGGCTCATCATGCTTGCTGCTTCAAAGAAAGACTAAGGAAAAGAAAAACATACAAAAAATGCAAAATAATTATTGTTTGTGTATATAAGCATTCATAGTTCAGAAAGATTCTCTCTGCCCTAAGAGAAATGCACTGTCTCATATTCTCAGCAGGACTACAGATAAAGCTACAATGTGCTTTGGTCCCCTTATATGGACTTGCAACTGCCATCAACCTTGATGCTAGAGTTCATTCTGAGGAAACCCCTGAGTAAGCCTGGAATAAGGAGATACCAGTGAGAGAGAGCAACAGTGGTACAGGGCAACATGAATGATGTAAGATAAACAGGCTTAGATCCATAGCACCTAGAGTAGAGAACAGAGGCACAAACAGAGGTAGACACCAGAAACAGTGATAAGGGACTGAAGTAAATGGATGGGAGCTTCAAATAACATTTCCTAAAGAATTAAGAACAATCTCTATGCAGATAAAATATCATGACAACTGTTGGGAGACTGACATTGTATTAACGTCACTCTAACTCAACTAAACTTTGACTAGAACTCCTGGGTATGGTTCTTGAGGATCACAATCACCAACACTGTGGTGTTCTGAAGGATTAAAACAACTCGTCAGCTTGTATGTTTCACATCATCTTCCACTAACATCCTTTAAGACACTTTAAGTATCAGAAATGTCTGTCATATCATGTTTGCTGATGTCTTGCTATGCTAAAGACTCTGGCAACTGGCAGCTGGGTTTCTGTTGGCTAGGATGATGTCCAGAGGCATCCATATTTTACCTAGAGTGTTCCTTGGTATGGTGCCTTTCAATCTTTTTTTCTTTTAAATAGATGAAATTATGGAGGAAATCTGTGGAACCCATAAAGCTCTGTGGAGCCAAGTTTGAAAATCACTGCCTTAGTATATGCAGAAATGTAATAACACTCACAACACAACACTGAAAGTAGTTAGATTGGAAATAAATTATTAAAAAATTTTATAATTTTCTATAGCCTCACCAGAATGCATCCTCAGAAAGACCCTTGATACATATACTCTTAAAAATTACAATTTTGAAAAGGTACATGCATGAATGTGTCATGTGCATATGAGAGTACATCTTTAATATCATAAACCACACGAACGACACAAAGAACATACACACCTCTGAGTAGTTTCTATGTGATTTATCCAGAACTTTTAAAAGAACTTCTGTTTCATGCAATTGACCATAGTCTCCTACTTCTCTTCTTACACCTTTAAAAATTTTTGTAAAAGTGCCTTGGCCAAGGCTTTCATTCTTTAAAAAAAAAGGAAAGAAAAGAATGAGTAAAGATGGAGAAAAATGAGACAATTAGGAAATAAGTTCAATGACAAAGAGTCAAAAAAAATTCATGAGCAAATATTTCCCGGACAAACAAAACCCAGATTTGAGACTCCCAATTAATTATATTCTGCTTCCTTACACCGTAATAAAAGACAGAAAACAAGGATTAATGAAAAAAGTGTACTTTGGTTCCACCTTATTCTTAAACCCCCTGAATTAGCTATAATTATCACTTTTTCATAGTATCAGTGTTTACCTGCATTTATTTACATTGAATCTTTTTGTTTGCCGTACCTAATAGTGCAGTAGAAAGGCAATACGGTATGGTCCGTGGAGGCAGAATGTCTGACTTCTTCCTTATTACCACTTACTAGTTGTGTAACCTTGTACAAGCTATTTAATCTCTCTGAGCTGCAGTTGTCTTGGTTTCTTCAACTGAGGAATGGGGATGACAACTATTTTTCCCATAGGATTTTTATGAACAACAAATGAATAACTACATGAAAGCACTTAGTGCAGTCTATGACTCATAGTAAATGCTCAATTACTATTACTACTATTACTAGTATTTCTCACATATCCTTACAGAATAATTGTTGAAAGCCTGCAGTCTGAAGCAGGGCTGCCTGTGTTCAAATTGAAGTTCTACTATTATTAGTTTTGTAATGTTAATCAGGTTACTTGGCGACTCTTTGCTTCCTGTTATTTACATGAGGATTCATGTCTTTACAATTCTAGATAATTCTATCTATTGTCTCTTTATAGAACTCAGACATCAGTTGGTCTTTCTCATTCTACTCTCCAAGTCCCTTAATCTCTTTCATAATTTCTATTTCTTTCTCCTTATTTGTTGCATCTGAATAATTTTCAGGGCTATCTTCCAATTCACTAATTCTCTCTTCAACTATGAGTAATCTGCTCTCTAACCTGTCCATTTTGTTTTAATGTCACTGAGTGTGTCTTTTCATTTCTATACTTTTTGCCCCAAATCTCTTTGGTCTTTTTTGATAATGTCTTGGGGCTTTTTTTCCTCATGTTTTCAACTCCTTTCATATCTTTAAACATACATATGTATTTTATAATCTCTATCTGAAGAGTCTGTTATATGAAGTTCTTGGAGGTCTAATTTTCATTTGTTAGTCTGCTGACTCCTACTTAATCCTGGATTATTTCCCTGTATATTTTTAAATTTTTGATTAAAAGCCCATGTTTGGAGTCGTTTTATCTGTGGGAATCCTGGGTGACCCAGGTTAAGAGTATGTTCTTCCAAAAAGATTTTGTATTTTCTTCTGCCTAGAACCACAGGGTAATACTAGGGGAATACTACTTTTTACTTTAATTTAATTTATTGGCTTAGGTCTTCTCTGACCATGCAGGTGGTATAAAGAAATCCCAACTCAAAAGCTTATGATTACAAATTCTCAGGAGAGAATTTTTTTCCTAAGAGCCGAACTAAAACAGACAACACTCCTTTTCTTCTCCTTTTGCTAGTGGGTAAATTTTTCACAATCCATATATTGTTTTACCGAGGATGTATTTGCTTGAGGGTCCCAGCTTTATTGAGATGGTCTCACTTTTAATACCTGGTCTTGTGTAGGACTTAAGACTTTACCCTTCTTTGTATTGGTTTTAGATCTTAATCCCTTTCACTAGTGAGACTAATCCCAACCCCGCAACATCATCCTGCAGCTGAAATATCAGCTCTTATTACTACATTGTTTTCATTTCCTTCTTTATTTTAACCCCTTGAATTTCTCTTACTTTCTTGAGAACTTGAGAATTAAGAGATAGATCTTTTGTAGAAGAAGATTTTTAATTTACAACTCAGAGATATTTTTAAATTCCTGAAAAGAGAACACAATTCCATTCTTAAAGTAATTAATTTTGCTAATTTCTAACTCCAGCTCTGTACCACATTTTCATAAGAAATAAAAACGTTTAAAAACTGCAATAAAATTTTTATAATATAGGCTATAGTACAATAGTTCCAAATGTCACATGAATGTAATGTGGGATAGAAAATGAAGAAAACAGTTGTTGTTTTAAAAGGACAAAAAAGAATAATCAGCATCTAATGACTTACAAATGTCAAATCTTCATTTCTGATTTTGTGAAACACCATTTGGTTCACATTATTATGCCTCTGTAACGTTGGTGAGGTTGGTACATCAGAAACACCATTGGTTCTGAAGACTAGAAGGTTTGATTTATCTTTAAAAGAAAAAAAGAAACAATGAAATAAAATATATCTAATCAAAACACATTGAGGATACAAATTGCTCAAAGGAGTAAAATAAAATGTGTTCTATATTTAAGAAATGCTTAACAACTTCTTATGTTCAATTTTTCCATAGACAATTTTTTTAGGAGTTTATTCATTGAACTTTGATGTACTCTAATCAGTTATTTCATAAATTCAAAATTATAATCACTTGCTAACATATAATTTTTCAGGAATTTTAATAATAATTTTTAACAAGCCTGTTATTTTAAGGATTTCCAACCTTACCATCTTTATTTTAAAAGTACAAAAATTAAAATTCGAAGAGTATGAAAGTTTTTACTTAGAACAACACATGAGAATTTGTCGTGAGGTCTTTCAGTTTAATAAACGACTGATTTATACCAAGCAAATATTATTTTTTAAATACCATTTTATTTATTTATTTTTTTTGGTGAGGAAGATTCACCCTGAGCTAACATCTATGCCAATCTTCCTCTATTTTGTATGTAGGTTGCTGCCATAGCATAGCCGCCAACGAGTGCTGTAGGTCCGCGCCCGGGAACCAAACTTGGGCCACTGAAGCGGAGTGCGCCGAACTTAACCACTAGGCTATGGGGCTGGCCCCTAAATGCCATTTTAGAATTATGGAACTTCAAGTCACTTCTAGACAACCCAAACCAAACTGAACAATCCTATTTGAGGATGCTAATACAACAGAATGAGACAAAATTAATTAGTTTTTGGAGCTCCTTCTTTCATATTTTTTTTGAAATCAATATACTAAAGATACCTCCCACCATATACACAATCCATGACCGGTATTTTAAAAATAACTAGAAAATTATTTTACCTTTTGGCTTTGGGGGACAGCATTTAGTAAACTGGAAAATTATACTGTCTGAGCGAACAGTTTCCATCTGATAGCAATTCAAAAGATCTTTAAGATTACTAAAGTTCTTCTTAGTCCCACTGAGGTTGTATTCTCCATTCTCATTTTTTGTAATCAAACAGTGCTTATATTCAATGATATTTTCTCGCTATGTAAGTTTAATTATAAAAAGAGGGAGGGAAAAAATCACAATGGACATTATAGTGATTATTGTGACAAAAAGGATATCACAAAAACAACCAACAGAACATAGACATTTGAACCGTGAATCCTGATGAAGTACTGGTATAGGGTGATAGAGGTGCTTGGTTCCTCAAAAAGACATCTAATTAAAATTGCATAGACTACAAAAATGACTTAAGACTTCATCTAATTAAAAAGCAAGTAAGAAAGCCTGATAATTAACAATAATAATAATAACATCCTTAACAGCTTTCCATCATTTATAAGATAAAGTATAAAACTAATTTAGCATATAAGGCCCTCCATGAGCTGGCTTCTGCTTCCATCTTCAACCTCAACTCCTGTCACTCCCAATATATATCCTATGTTCTAGCTATATTGAGTGACAAAAAATTTCAAGCAAATGCCATGCTGTTTCATGTCTTGATAACTTGTACATGCTCTCTACCTATGAATGTTCATCCTCTCCTTCTGAGCAGTGGACTTTTATTCATTTCTTTTTTTTTTTTTTTTAAATACATTTCTTTTTGTGTGTGTGTGTGTGTGAGAAAGATCAGCCCTGAGCTAACACCCATGCTAATCCTTCTCTTTTCGCTGAGGAAGACCGGCTCTGAGCTAACATCTATTGTCAATCCTCCTCCTTTTTTTTTCCCCCCAAAGCCCCAGCAGATAGTTCTATGTCATAGTTGCAGATCCTTCTAGTTGCTGTGTGTGGGACGCGGCCTCAGCATGGCCGGAGAAGTGCGTCGGTGCGTGGCCGGGATCCGAACCCGGGCCGCCAGTAGCGGAGCGCGCTCACTTAACCGCTAAGCCACGGGGCCGGCCCTATTCATTTCTTAAAACTCAGTTAACGTCCACTTTTTCTGTGAGGTCCTCCTTAACAACTCTCACCCCATTCCAAAAGCAAAGGTGATTATACCTTCCATTGTGCCACTGTTGTATTTGTATAATTATCTCTAATATGGAAATTTTAATATTTTTCAATTTTTCAATGTTTGTTGTCTGTGCTATACTATGAACTGGTTCATTCATCTATTTTTTTGAGCTGCTTCTTATAAGCTTATTCAACCTACTTAGAACCTTTCATATAAAATCAACTAAATACCTCAAGTCCTTCCTACTCCAAAAGATCTTTCTTAATAATTATAATCTTTTCTGTTATTGTCTGTATTTGCCTATACTGGATAATTACAATGCTCTATTTATTATTTTTTAGGGTATACTTTGTATTATACTTAGTATTATAATATTTAGTATTATTTTTGTTTTTCCAAAACATAAGTTTCTCGAAGCAGGGCTATATCACAAACTCCCTAATACATAGCCCCCATATTAGGCTGGGCAAATACAGTAAACATAAAAAAATACACATTTTGATTTGATAATTGAATATAATGCACTGTTATATATTACAGTAAGAAGACACTGTGAAATAAGGATAGATTATTGGTATTTTACAACGCTGAAGTCATGGAGTAACCTACCTTCTGTATTTATGGACAGTTAATCCACTCTACATATGCTAAATATAAGATCGTTGCATTTCATAAAAATTAAAATAATTGAGTAACAAAATCCTTACTTTCCCTACTTTTAAAAAGTAAGATAAATTTTGGAAGCTGTTATAAAGTTCCTCAACATTATCATGAAACTGCCTTATAAGTGATAGTATCTTTTCAGATAATTTTGGATATTAAACAATCTTAGATGAGATCCAAAATTATCTCTATTAACAGCAAGGTTTCATTGTAGTTTTACGCTTAAAACATACACTGTGGATCATTATTCTCTTTTTTTTTAAAGATTTTTTCTTTATTTTTTGTTGTTGTTGAGGAAGATTGGCCCTGAGCTAACATCTGTGCCCATCCTCTTCTACTTTTTGTATGTGAGATGCTGCCAGAGCATGGCTTGATGAGCAGTGCATACGTCCATGAAGGGGAATAGAACCTACGAAACCCCGGCAGCTAAAGAAGAGTGCAGGAACTTAACCATTATGCCACTGGGCCGGCCCCTATAGATCGTTATTCTTAATATTGGAAAACCACACTAGTTAAAAGTGCTATAGTGTTTGTTTCTTCGTTATTGTCCTATTTCACTCTAATCTTGTAATCATTACCAGTAAAAGGAAAGTTTGCTTCTGATTTACTTTGTTCTACTTGTTTTGGTAAAGATTTCCATTTCTGTGAAAAAAGAAACTTCACAAGACTTGATGAGATCTGATACACTGGTAACACTCAAACAGCAAAAAATAAAATAAATTCCAAATAAAAAGATAGAAAGACATTATAAATTATGTTATATTTTTATATAAATCCTAGGAATTGTTTATGCAGAATCCCTGAGGTAAATTAAGCATTATTATGCTAGTTATCATTTCCAGAGCTACAATTCTAAGTATTAAAAAGGAAATATGATAGATAGACATAATGGGGAAGTTACATGGACTAAATAAAGCTGTTACCATTAATTAATGTGACATACTAACCTCAACAGCAAAAGTCAGAAAATATTTATTAAAGTCCTTTGGACTGCATCGAAGTACATAGAGTCCAGTCTGATTACCTGCTTTCTTCAGCTTGCTGATGGCAAAATCCATTCTAAAGGTAAAGAAGTAATTTGAATGACAATGTAGCAAGCACAAGGACATTACGACTATACGTCATCTAAAAGATCAAAGTCAAATCTAAAACATTCAGAATTTTTAGAAGTCTCCTCTACTTTATATGTTTATCAATAATCTTGCAAGGAAAAATATTAAAGTAACAATATATTTTTCAGTAAGTTCAAACCAATTCAAGGGGCAATTATGTTGCTTTAAAAACAAATAAAAGGTACATGCACCCCTGTGTTCATTGCAGCCTTATTCACGATAGCCAAGACTTGGAAGCAACCTAAGTGCCCATCAAGGGACGAATGGATAAAAAAGCTATGGTATATATACACAATGGAATACTACTCAGCCATAAGAAACGATGAAATCCAGCCATTTGTGACAACATGGATGGACATTGAGGGCATGATGCAAAGTGAAATAAGTCAGAGGGAGAAGGTCAAATACCGTATGATTTCCTTCGTTAAGTAGTAGATAATAACAACAATAAACAAACACATAGGGACAGAGATTGGATTGGTGGTTACCAGAGGGGAAGGGGGGAGGGAGGAGGGTGAAAGGGATAATTGGGTACATGTGTGTGGTGATGGGTTGTAATTAGTATTTTGGTGGTGAACATGATGTAATCTATGCAGAAATAGAAGTACAATGATGTACACCTGAAATTTTTACAATGTTATAAACCAATGTTACTGCAATAAACAAAAAATTAAAAAAAAAAAAAAACAAAAAACAAATAAAAGGTTTATAAGACACACAAAATGACAAAAAACAATCTCTCTGAATTTTCTGCCTTCTGATTACAAATTTAGTGTTTAAAAAACCGTACTCACTCTGACAAAATTTCATTTAACTATGCAAACAATATATCATAAAACACATGTCTCTTCTCCCATAGCAATAACTAATATAAAAATTTATGTGCATTATTTTAATATTTAATGTAATACCAAAGTCCAGTAAAAGACTCATGGCAAGTGACAAACACTACTGATTTTTAAAATTTGCTATATGTTTTATTGAAGCTGCACATCTTGAAGGAAAAGTCAAAATGTAATCTACAAGAAAGCAGGAATCATCTCTGTTTCACTTACCACTATATTTCTCATACATAAATCAGTGCCTGGCACATATTAGGTACTCAGTAAATGTTCTATAAACAAATAAAAGAATGCTTGAATGGATGGATGGATAATGAATGAATGAACGGTAGGAGTTTTTAAAATATTGAATATGTAATTATATTAGAATGTTCAAATAGTGCAACTTTTTCATAACCACCACACTTATTATTAAACAGACATTAGGTATAGACTGAATCAAGTCTTAAATATCAGTCAGGATATGTTTTCTCAAATATTTAACTAAGGATAGGTTAAGGTCAGGAAACATATGCTCACAATCCCAGATTGTTTCTTCTGCTCAAGTCCTTCAAACCTGGTACCAATCATAAAGCACATCCTAGCTGAGACATAACTAGGACTTAGGCTAAACAGATGTTATGCACGATAGCTGGCTTTATCCAGTATTGAAGTAAGGGTCCACAACTGTGTGGCTCAATATGGTAGCCACACGTAGCTATTTAAATGTCAAGTTATTAAAATTAAATTAAATTAAAAATTCAGTTCCTCAGTTGCACTAGCCACATTTCAGTGAATGAATGTTACAGATATTCCCTCATGCCTGCAGTGAATGTTTGATAAGTCTTATATGAAGATGCTTCATATAATGCTGAATAGCCACATGTGGCTAGTGGCTACTATATTAAACAGCACAGATACAGAATATTTTCATTTTCATCACTGCAGAAAGTACTGCACAGTACTCGTACATCATATACATCTTGTGTTCAAAGCTTTCACTAAAAGGAGTTAGATTACCCAAAAATAATGATGATTATCAAATTTTGCATTGTGGTTCTTCTGTCGTATTTCAAAATTAATGAAACATAAATTGGAAGGTTTCTTAAATTAACACCCAAGAATTATTTAAACACACCTAGGCAACTAAATGTCAAACTTATACAAATTAGAAGTATTTTTATACTATACTACACAATTTATAGATTGGGATACAGATAGCAGATTATAACCTAAATAATTCTACCTACTAAGTGATTTGATTGCAAATAGACTTTTGTTACAAAAAAAAAAATCTTCAGTCAAATTAATATTTTTTCTAAACTCTTAAACCTACGTATATATTCTATTGTGTAAAATCTTTTTTTTTGTAAATATCTCATTTACTTTGTTAAAAATTTACTTTTAAAGTCTGTATTACTCACGAAATTGGGCCATGACAGTTGCTTTGTATATTTTCAAGCACCATCGGAGGTGCTACTTCTTTACAGAGGTAATGATGTGCATCTGCAGTTAATCTATAATATCCATCAATTAATGACACAAAAGACAAAGCTTCTCTCAATGAGCTAAGTTCAATTTCCTATGTGGAAAAAAGAAAAAAAATAATAGTATTATTTAAAAAGTCAACTAGATGCTACATATTGAAAATCCTCTTCACTCCATGTTGTTAGATTAATTCTCCTAAATTAATTTTCTTCTAAATTGCTCAAATGTCTTTTTTATGGCTCTCAATTACCCAATCTGAACTACAAATTCTTGTGTCTGATATTCAAGACCCTCTCGAATGTTAGCTTATCATGCCGAAACAGTTATAGTTCATTCTACATTCATAACATTACTGTATTTTCCAATACTCCTATTAGACAAATGTGCCATTCATCTCAATTAGAAATCTATCTAATCTGATACAAAGGTTGGTATTAATTAGAAATAATGAGCATTTATTTTTAAATATCATTTATTTTCACATACCCTGCTAAGGTTAAAGTGCTCAAGCTATAAAATAAAATGTATGGAGTATAAACTAAAATCATATATAGCTATGCTATGATTGTATCACATATACATATGTGAATATATAATCAGCCTAAAATGCAGCATCTTATTTAATGGGAAAACACCAAAGCAACTTCTCCTAAAATCAGGAATAAGATAAGAAAGCCCACTATTTAATTTTGTACTGTATTGTATTGTATACAGCTAATATAATTAGGTCATAGAAAGCAAATATAAATATAGAAATTGGAAATAAGGAAGTAAAACTATTTCTATTCGGAGATTATATGGTACACGTGGGGAACCCAAAAGAAAACAGCTATAAAACTACTACAATGGTAAGATAATTCATTAAGATAGCAGGATACAGAAATCAATAGTTTTTAACATATATAAAAAATAGTCAATCATATAATGAAAAAAAGATAGCTCTATTTATAACGGCAGCAAAAAAAAAATGTAATAGCTAGAATTAAACTTAACCAAAAAAGGTACAAAATCATTTTTCGAAAAATTTCAAAATGCTCTTGTAAGATGCATCTTTTTATTTGAATATATACAAGATTTACCATGTTCTTGGATAGGAAAATTCAATATCATAATGATGTAAAAATCCTCCCTAAATTAATTTTCTAACTTGTCACAATCCCAGTATAAAATACCAACAGGTACTGGCAGATATACCCAGAAACACAAGGCAAATATGAGATTCAGAAAACCAGGGATCCAACATAAGAGAGACAAGAAGATAATTCGCACTTTGATAAGAAAGGGATGCTCAAGTATTAGAGCTGTGCATGGCCTAGAGAGCTTCCAGTCTAGATTATATAGTAAGACTCAGTGATCAAGGAGGGACTTTTCCAGGAAAGAAATAGAAGTGATATATTTGACAGGTCTGATTATGTGAAATACTATATTGAGAAGTGAGCTACTTTATAGAGTTCTTGCAGGGAATGGAAAGATATATACCAAGGAAAAAAAGTTAAGGAATGAACTCCCAGAAAAACAAAAGTTGTACAAGAATGGAAATGTCATCACAATATTCTACTTGGCTCAGCAATGAACCATATTTATCATAATGGGAACACAGAATACGGACTTATACCAAAAGTTATACTAAGGAGAGAAGTATGTGATGTATTTGAACTATAAAAGGTATTTAGCTAACACAATTAAGCCATAAAAATAGGTATTATAAAAGATCATAAACAGTGTTAAAAGATTTGGAGAACTGCAAACCTGTACAACAAAGGATTAATATACCCAATATATATTGACTGAAAAAACCTATAGGGGCCGGCCCGGTGGCGTAGCAGTTAAGTGCGCACGCTCCGGTTCGGTGGCCTGGGGTTGGCAGGTTCGGATCCCGGGCGCACACCGAGGCACTGCTTGTCAAGCCATGCTGTGGCGGCATTCCATATAAAGTAGAGGAAGATGGGCACAGATGTTAGCCCAGGGCCAATCTTCCTCAGCAAAAAGAGGAGGATTGGCATCAGATGTTAGCTCAGGGCTAATCTTCCCCACAAAAAACAAAAAAAACCCAAACCTATAAAGCAATTAAAAATAGAAAACTAGTCAAAGGATATGAAAAGACAATCCAGAGAAGAAGACATACAAACAGCTGGTCTACAAACACATGAGAAATTGCTCAATCTCAGGTTCTAATAAAGGAAACGCAATCTAACAACAGGACAGTAATTTTTGTCTATCAGTTTGGCAAAAAACCAAAAGACTGATAACATCCAAGGATGCTGCAACGAACAAGAGGGTGCAGATATCTCTTCAAGAGAGTGATTTTGTTTCCTTTGGAATATATACTCTGAAGTGGAATTGTGAGATCAAGATGCTAAATTTTATGTGAAGTGCATTTTACCATACTTTTTAAAAAAAGATAAAGATAGAAAAAAAATGCCAGAGTAAAGAGTAAGAGGATAGTAAAAAAAGTGTAACTAACATGTAACAGACTGGGAAAATGTGATAATAAGCAAAAATTAATTACGTTCTTATATCCAGCAATAATTTGTTAGAAAAATCCATTGAGAAAAAGCTCTTAACCCTAATAAGTAACAGAAAAAGCATAATATATCATGAATAAAATTCAGCAAGAAACATGATGTATCAATATGAATAAAACTATCAGAAGTTACTGAAGGGACCAGCCCAGTGGCGCAAGTGGTTAAGTGCACACGCTCTGCTTTGGCAGCCCAGAGTTCACAGGTTCAGATCCTGGGTGTGCACCGACACACTGCTTGGTAAGCCATGCTGTGGCGACATCCCATACAAAGTAGAGGAAGATGGGCACGGATGTTAGCTCAGGGCCACTCTTCCTCAAGAAAAAAGGGGAGGATTGGCATTGAATGTTAGCTCAGGGCTAGTCCTCCTCACAAAAAATAAAAATAATAAATAAAAATAAATTTTAAAAGTTACTGAAAAACATAAAATAATACTTGGATACAAAGAGAAATACAATGTATCCCTTAAATAGAAAATGTAAAGAAATGTCATTTCTTCTCAAATTAATCTTTAGAGCAATTCCAACAAAATGTCAATGTAATATTTTAAGGAGCTTTAGGAATACTCAATAAAAAGGTAGTGTCACAGTTAAGAGCTTAGGTTATCAAATCACACATTTGGGTATACACAGGCTCTATCACTTAACACTGAGACCTTGGAAAGTTACTTAACCTCTCTGTATTGCAAACTTAAAATAAAGTCAACAAGTCCAAATACCATCCCTAATGTGATGTTCACATTAGCATCAATAAACTCTTCTAGAAATATTAGAAACATTTATTCTATAGATACCACACTTATAGAATAAATATTTACGTGTATGGGATACGCATGTATTTGTGGTATTTACAGAATAAATATTCCTTCTATAAATTCCACATTGGGGTTGATATTTATTAATCATCCTTTTATTGATCCATGAAATACTTATCAAGCTCTTTCTAAACTAGGCCCTAGAGGGCCAGCCCCAGTGGCCTAGTGGTTAAGTTCGGCACACTCCACTTCGGCAGCCTGGGTTTGGTTCCCGGCAGACCTACACCACTCATCTGTCAGTGGCCATGCTGTGGTGGTAGCTCACATACAAAAAGAAGAAGATTTGCAGCAGATGTTAGCTCAAGGCAAATCTTCCTCAGCAAAAACAAACAAACAAACTAGGCCCTGGAACACTGTGCAAGATGCAGAGAGTAACAACACACAAAAAAACATGATTCTTACCTTCAAGAAGCTCAGAGTCTAGCAAGTAGTAGGTGCACACTATCATATTTTTATCTAAGACCAGGACAGCGTACTGACTACAGTGAGTTACAAGTTGGTTATAATTTTGGTAATATAACTCTGAAATGGCCAGATAGCTAGGTCATATAGATATGAAATTTAAGAGCAGAGTATAAAGGAATTCATTTCTTCCCTTTCAATTAAGATAAGTGAGAATTTTGAAACTATTTAAAGAAAGAAAGGATTAATCTTTTAGAATCAGTCATGTCTTACAGCTTGGTAGGGCTGACCTGGGATTGGTTTATATTTTGTTATATAAATTCCAGATAGTATTGTTCTGATTTCTCTTCCTCCTTTAATTAGGCGGTATGATTGGCATTATGCACATCTCTATTGCTAAAAAAAGTTTATAGTCAGGAATGAGCATTACAACAGGGAAAAAGCACAACCCAGAGTGGGGGGAAAAAGTAACTGGTGCTTTGCTAATGATAAAAATGAGTGAAAAATACACTAATGTACAAGAAACTCGGTAGGAAGATAGTGTTGGCAGTGATACAAAAAGCTAGATATAATCAAAAAGCTTACTATACTGATGTTTATGTTTAGAGCTATGTTTAATACTATAATCAAAATTCCTACAAGAAAATAACTTTGGTATTAAGATTCTGAAATACTTATTAAAACAACCATTATTTAGTTATAAAGCAAACTTACCAGAGTTTTACCATCTTGCTTATGGATAGTTACAATTCTGCTTTCATCTGAGCCTTCTTGGTGTGCTTGCTTAATATTGACATCAATAATATCAGGAAAATCACAATATAACTGTAAATCCTGTAATTAAGAGCATTTGAAATTAAAAATAGGTAGAATTTATGGAGCCATTTTAATACATGACAAGGAGATAACATTCATTCCAAATTCTTTAAGATAAAAAAGTACTGATAGCAATAGTTAAGTATTAAATGAGATTCTCTCCCCCAATAATCTAACCCTAAGACTACATCATATTTTGCTTTGACTTAAAAATGAGAGCATTAAAGGATGCCAGAAATCTAAAGGTGTGCTATAGTATCCTTCAATCCAACCAACATTAATAAGAACCATTGCCAGAAAATTGAAAGTTTAACTACCAAAGAATGAAGATAAAAAACAAATAAATCTCTAATAACAATCTAAGAACACAGATATGAACAAACTTAAAACTGCAATGCAAAGCTAAAAAAAAAAACTAAGTTATTTAACAGGTATACATCATCATAAAAACAATTAAAATTAATCTTTTCCAATTAATTAAATTTTATGATCGTGTCCTATTATCAATAATAGTAAAAGAAAAAAAGGAGGCAAAACTACTTTAAAAATCACTTTTAATTTTCAAGCCTTTTCTGAAACTATAAGAACACCATTACTAAATATTTTGTCATAAAAAACCATTTAAGAACAACGAGAAAAGAACTAGAGAAATGACCTTGATGGCTTCACACTATTAAAAAATGTGCACTTCTATCAATGGGAGAAGAGAAGTGCAAGACCATGTTTCAAATGAGTAAGATTACTTTGCTTCTATTGCCATTCTACTTAAATTAACAAAGAATGAGAACGTATCATTAAGGATTACCTGTTCTGTCAGTGTCTCACTTTCTTTATGTTTCCCTCTTGACCACTGAATTCCACCGTTTCCAGTTATTATAATGGTTGCAAAAATCTCCTCACCTGAAGGACCTCTTCCAGGTTCTTTTACTTCAAATTGCTCTGTGTAGAAGGCAGACTGAAGAGTTTCCAGATTTATAAGATACTTAAGTTTCAAGTTCCTGGCAGTGGCTTTGCAATGGCTGAATTGCTCAATAAATCTGCGAAATCTGTACCTTATTCGTTTTCTTGTCAAAATATGATAGTCTTGGATCTTTGCTCGAACACATTTTGGTAAGAATGTCTTGTAGCTAGGGACAAAGAGCACACACAGAAAAGCAAAACAAATTGGAAGATAAATCTAAAACAAAATTAAAAGAGAAGTTACCTCCTTTCTCCATGATAGGTAAGTACTACAGCACAGTAGTCAAGTGGAGAAAGGTGACATAGCCACCACGTCTACAGAATAAAACCTTAAGGTTTCATTTGATGATGTGAATACATAGACAAATTCTGAGTTACTATAAATGTTTAAAACAGGAGATGTTAATTTTCTTCCCCTAATGAAGACTTAGTCTAGTTAATAATGGAGTCTCTAAAAATTTGTTTTCACTGATTATCTTATATACTATATTTTTGGCACTGTATTGCAAATATTTCCTATGATGCTGTACACCAAAATTCATCTGAATTCTGGAAATTGTTACATTTTGTTGGATGCTACTGTTGTTCATTATGCAAACACACTTCTTTTGCATACATTATTTTCTTAGGCCAGCTTCAATAACTCCTAATAATTCCTTTGCAATCAAAACAATTCCATTTGGAAATGTTCTGACTCTTTTGTACTTCCATCTCTATGTAAAATATCCTAAAGAAGGTGGATAAGCTATTTCCCTCCTGCTCAAATATCTGACAAATGAAAAACATTTTATTTCTGAAGGTACGACTATATTAAATTTCCATGCCTTCACCTATGCTAATCCTTCTTCCCATCACCCATCTCCTATCTGGTTAGCTTTTACCCATTCTACAAGTGTTAGCTCAAGCATCCTCAAATCCAGGAAACCTTTCTGGACCTCTATGACAATGTTAGATGCTCCTCCCTTTGTCTGACAGCATTCTGTGCACCCCTCCATAATACCACTTATCACACTATACTGTACTTGAGTGTTTACAACCAGTGCTAGAGAAGGCTCATGCTGAGAGTTTATTATTACATTTTAAGGATTATTTTGAGCTGATTGTTAAACATCCATCATTAAAATTTAAGTTATATAAATTTACAAATAAATAAATTATATTAAAAGTATAGGTAATAGGGGCTGGCCCCATGATGTAGTGGTTGGTTTGGCACACTCCACTTCAGCGGCCCGGGTTTGCAGGTTTGGATCCTGGGCACAGACTTATATCACTTTTCAGCCATGCTGTGGCAGAGACCCACATACAAAATAGAGGAAGAATGGCACTGATGTTAGCTCAGGGAGAATCTTCCTTAGCAAAAAAAAAAATATATATATATATATATATAGGTAATAAATACTCAAAATGCATTCCTTCCTAACTATTTTATAGTTTTTATTTTACATTTTACTACTAACTATGCTTTTGATGTCATTTATGTTTATCGTATATGAGTAGTGGAAAGGGTTTGCTATTGCTCATCTCTTCCCAATTCTGCATTCGGTGACATCAGGTTGATACCTTGAAATTGGCCATGGAGAGAGTATTTATACCATGGATTTCAGCAAAGATCACAAATAAATCAGACCTTGCCCCCTACCCTCAAGTTGTTAAACATTTACCAGCATACCACTGCTTACTCCCTTCTCTACTCTACCCTAAGCCCCTTGAGGAACTCTCAGTTTTGTACTCAAGCAGCCAGAGCTGCTGGAGCAAAACAAGGTAGATGGATTGCATTATAATAAATTCATAATCACCAATTTCAAATGGGCTTTCATTACTACCATCACTTTTACTATATTTCTATGTTCAACTAATCTTCCCAAGACTCACAACTATGTCAAACCTTCTCGAACTTCCTCAAACCTCCTACCTTTCTTCTGCCTCAAACTCAGCTACATTCCTCCTCACTTGCAGCAGACTTCATCTCCTTCTCAAGGGAAAAATTTAAAAAAAAAGCTTCTCTAAGCAGAATTCACTCAATATCCTGCTAGCAAACCTACATACATCTGCACTCATTTTCTCTCCTTCCCACTTATTACAATAAATGAGGTATAAACCTGCTAATTAAAGCCATTTCTTTGACATGTATTTACCTACACCCTCTCTCTTCCTCTAACATACATCCACCCTCTGAGGACTTTTACTCTATTTTTTCTCTTCTATCCACAAGGTTTAAAAATACTAACACTATTCCCATCTTAGATGTAAAATGTAAAATCTCTTTATCCCATATCTCCCTCCAGCTACATCCTATCTGGCCTCTTTTTGAAAGTTTATTCAGCCAGTTCCATTTTCTTGCCTTCCATTTACTCCTCAACTCACTCCAATCTGGCTTCTGCTCCATTACTCCATAGAAACTGCTCTTGCCAAAATCAAGAGAAACTTCCATGTTGGTAAAAACAAATTCCCATGTTCATTTTACTTGTCAGTTTTCAGTAGCATCCAACACTGTTAATCATTCTCTCCTTGAAACTCTCTCCCTTTAGCTTTCTTGATTTTATTCCTACCTCTTGGCTACTCCTTCTCAATTTTATTTACAGGTTCATTCCCCTTTGCCTGGTGATTAAATGTTGGAGTTCCTTAAGACTTAATTATGGACCCTCTTCTTATCTATACTCTCTTTTTCTCTAGACACTCTATATGCAAATGACTCTGATATCTCTATCTCTAGCCCTAACCTCTAAGCTCTAGACTTATATCTTCCACAGTCAAATCAATCTACCTATTTAATTTGGATGTCTCAAAAGCTACTCAAACAATGTGTTAAATCAAACTCATGAATTCCCCTAAAGTTCTCCCCTAGAAGATCCTCTTATAGCATTCCCTATCTGAGTAAACAGCACTACAATTCATCTACTTCTACAAGCCCCACAAACCCAGGAAGCATCCTTTACACCATCTTCTCCCTCAATCCCCATTATTCACTCCAACACCACATTCTCTTATTTTACCTTCTAAATATTTCTCATTACCAACCCATTCAACAATATCTCCTGGAGGAACTACCGCAATGGCCTTACTTTCTGGTCAATTCGAATTTCCATTTACTCTTAGCACCGTCTGATTTGTTTTCTACACTGGAGTCATGGGGATCTTTTAAGAACAAAGATCTAATCATTTCACCCTTGCATGGTTTCTTAGTGTTCTTAACCTTGTCAACACGACTCTAAGGTTCTATATGGTCTAGCCCCTGCCTTGTCTCCTACTAACTCTTTAAGCTCTAGCCATACTGACTCTCTTCCTATGCTCCCTTCTGCTACAAGGCCTTTTCCATGAGTCTCTACTCTCCACCGCTCACCTCTCTCCACCCAGTAAATTCTACTCATTTTCCAGATCTCAAAAGTCACACTCTGGGGCCCGGCCCGGTGGCGCAAGCAGTTATGTGCGTGCGCTCTGCTGCAGCGGCCTGGGGTTTGCAGGTTCGGATCCCAGGTGCAGACCTACACCCTGCTCATCAAGCCATGTGTGGCGGCATCCCATATACAAAAAATAGAGGAAGACTGGCAACAGATGTTAACTCAGGGCCGATCTTCCTCAACAACAATAACAAAAAAATATAATCAGAACGCAAATGATTCCTACTTTATCTACTTCCGTCAAAAACATTAGTTGCCAAGAGCCTTACTAAATCTGGAATGCAATTTACATAAACACCAATGGCTACTTGATTTAATAAAGCTTTGAAAACCTATCTGGAGATAAAAAGAGGAGTTAAAGATAATAACATAAAACAAGGCTTTCCACTTTGATACTTAGAATAAAGGACCAGATATACATCCTTTGGGAATACCATTGGAGTGTGTGGTTCTTGAATATGGTGAATCCGCCTCAGTGTCATGCTATCAGAACCAGACTCGTTAGAAACACTAAAATTTTTCAAGAGACACAAAGTTGTTAACTCTCGAAACATAAAAACATTTTCCTCATGCTTTTCTTATATTGAGTTTTTAAAGAATCCTAAAATTGAGGTTCTAAAAGGCTCTAAAATTGAGGCTTGCCCTAGAAACTAGTATTTTTTGTACTGTAAAATGAAATCTGTATTTTATTATTACAATTGGAGTAGGCTACCGGAAACTTAGTATTTGTACAGTTATTTAAAAAGGGAGTCTAATGATAGGAGGTATGTAGTTCAGCTGCTATGTAAGTGGCCTTGGCCCTGGCCTAGTGTTTGCAAATTCAGCAGAGTCTCCTTTAACCTCTTTCCATTCTCCAGTTCTCTTCTTCCCACCTTTTAGCAAATTGAGGATTTTAAAGAGCAGATGAAAAAAGAAAATGAAAAAAATCTTATTCGTTTCCTTCACTGTCTATACTCCAAAACCTAAGCCACAAGGTTCAACTAGGAATTAGCGTACAAAAGAGTAACTATCTAATACATACCCATGCACAAAGAGATGCACAAACACATATATACAGGCAGATATGCACACAGAGGCATGGGCTCACACACATAGACACACCTAACACACAGGCAGAGACACACAGAGTGCACCTTACACGTATTTCTTTTAAGTTTGGGAAAGAATATGTATTTAGTTATACTAATCAAAGATCCATACCCCACTGGATATTTCTGGGAACAACACAGTTTATTTCATTCTGCCAAGAACTAATCATTCATCTGTTCTCCTGTCAATCCTGAATATTTTAACACTGAGTTGAGTTCCTTGATCATTTCTCAGAAATGAGCACTAAATGAGAATTCAAAAAACATCAGTGAGTTAAATTATATTAAGAAGGCAAGCAAGGCAGACATGTTTTGCTTCAGAACAGGCATAAATTATTTATCTAATATTAAAATATCATGGTACAAGAGACAAAAGAAAAAATAGATAAATTAGACTACTTCAAAATTTAAACTGTTATGCTGCAAATGATACTTTTAAGAAAGTGAAAAAACAATCCACAGAATAGGAAAAATATTTGCAAATCACATATATGATAACTTACATCTGGGGATTTGTATCCAGAATATATGAAGAACTCAATAATAAAAAATATTGAATTGTACACTCTAAATGGGTGAACTTTATGGTATGTGAATTTTATCTCAATAAAGTTGTTTTAAAATATCATGGAATCGTATGACGAATGTTTAATATCTATAAAATTTTAAAAGTAAAATAAAGAAAAAAATGATGCAGAATTTTGCAGATGCATTTACATGCTGGTTAAGAGAATCAGAGAAATACAATTGCTAAACATTCACTGGGTTTAGGACACTAGACTAAATAATGTAGGAAGAAGAATAAATAGATGGCATGATTCCTGACCTCAAAGAAACCCTAATCCACACAGAAAGATTATGCCAAGACTTTGGACAATATCATGGTCTCCAAAGCAGAAGTGTTTCACCATAGCATAAGCCTAGAGATGGCTTCATATTTTTTAAATTCATCTTCAGCGGCTCAAAGCTTCTCCATTCTTCAACTGTGTTCCCTCCAATTCCTTCAATTTCTATTAACAATATCTAAGATATTCCTCCCCTGACTCTGTTCTGCTATGGACTCACACATTGCAGGTATTCAATAAATAGCTGCTGAATGAATGAATGAGTGAATGAGTTAATATCCTAAGGAGCGTCTGTCTGCGTTTTTTAAAATTTTATTTTTTATTCAAGTATAATTGATATACAATATTATATTAGTTTCAGGTATACAATATAGTGATTTGATATCTTTATACAATACAAAATGATCATCAAGCTAAGTCTAGTTACCATCTGTCACCATACAACGTTATTACAGTATCATTGACTATATTCTCTATGTTGTACATTACATCCCTGTGACTTATTTATTTTATAACTGGAAGTTTTTACTTCGTGATCCCCTTCACCTATTTCACCCATTTCACCCTCACCACTCTCCTTTCTGGCAACCACTAGTTTGTTCTCTGTATCTATGAGTCTGTTTCTGTTTTGTTATATTTGTCCGTTTGTTTTGTTTTTCAGATTCCACATATAAGTGAAATCATATAGTATTTTTCTTTCTCTGTCTGAGTTATTTCACTTAGCCTAATACCCTCTACGTCCATCCATGTTGTTGTAAACGGCAAGATTTCATTCTTTTTAATCGCTAAGTAATATTCCATTATACACACACACACACCACATCTTCTTTATCCATTCTGTCTGTATTTTAATAAAGATCAAGGCCTTAGTGGAAAACAGAAACGTTTTTGTTTTTCCTCTGGACTTTGGAATCTTTTTGATTCCTCAGTGATCATACCCTATGGCTTATACTCTTAGGTTAAGGCCTAAGAGACATCTGAAAACAAAACAAGAATACTTAAAACCAAAGAGGGAAATGCAGAAATTGATACACTGCAAATTGGGTATGTAACTGTTTTGACTGTTATGTGACTATGACTACATACATACATACTGTTACATACAAAACAGGAATGATTGGGGGCCGGCCCAGTGGCGCAAGCAGTTAAGTGCGCCCGCTCTGCTGCGGCGGCCCGGGGTTCACTGGTTTGGATCCCGGACATGCACTGACGCACTGCTTGGCAAGCCAGTGCTGTGGTGGCGTCCCATATAAAGTGGAGGAGGATGGGTACGGATGTTAGCCCAGGGCCAGTCTTCCTCAGCAAAAAAAGAGGAGGATTGGCAGATGTTAGTACAGGGCTGATCTCCTCACAAAAAAAAAAAAAAAAGACAAAACAGGAATGATTGAAGCCAGTTATTGAGAGAAGGATTTCAAGGAATAAAGAGAGTTATAACCAGATTTCATGACATCCTCAAACTTTTAATCTGGTAAGTATGGAATATATAAAACACATATTTAGTCTTCAAACTTAAAAAAAAAATCAAAGCATTCTTATAATAGTCATATAGACCTTTAAAAAGAGTGGAAGTTTTACAGTCATTAAAGTTGGACTGTAGGAGTAGTGTTTCAAAAACCGTTACTAGGCATGATTATCAAAATTCAATGCACAGAAGAATAATGTGAAGAATGTGGAGAGTGTGGATCACTTGTATAAGAATCTGCTGGATCAGTTATAATATGAAGAAGGTCTGAGGATCTAATATAAAAGATGGTGACTATAATTGATAACACTATATTGTATAATTGATATTTGCTAAGAGAGTAGAGCTTAATGTTCTCACCAAAAAAAGAGAAAAGATAAATACGTGAGGTGCTGGATGTGTTAGTAAACTAGACAGGGGAATCCTTTCACAATGTATACATATATGAAATCACCATGATGTATACTTTAAATATCTTACAATTTTATATGACAATTATACCTCATTAAAGCCGAAATAAAAAAAAGTCTCCTGGAGCACTTGCAAAAATTCATATTTCTGGGCTTCACCTCAAATTTATTGAATCCAAATTCTTGGGTTAGAACCCAAGAATCTTCAGTTTTAACAGGCACCTCGGGAGACACTAATTCAAGTAAAATAAGGACCACTATTTGACAAATAGTGATTCAGAATTATTTATACTGCTATCAGAAATTATGTTTCCAGGTGCTCTTTTCATTCCTCTGACCTTACCTAGCCTTTTCAGAATAAATGAATCAAATAACAAATAGGTATTGAACACCAATATTTTCTGTAGTACTCCAACTCTTTCAATAATTTCTTGTAGTTATAAGATAAATAAGTACCTGGGATGTAATGTACAATATGATGACTATCGTTAACACTGTTGTATGATATATATAAAAGTTATTAAGAGAGTAGATCCTAAGAGTTCTCATCACAAGAGAAAAAAATTTTTTTCCTTTCTCTTTTTTTTGTATCTGTATGAGATGATAGATGTTAACTAAATTTATTGGGCTAATCATTTCACAATATATGTCAAAGTATTATGTTGTATACCTTAAACTTACACAGTGTTTTATGTCAATTATATCTCAACAAAACTGGAAGAAAAAAATAATAATTTAATTTATCCCAAAAGGTATGTGTTATACACAAGGAAGAAAAGTTACCCACGTTACTTTTAATTATTATAAAATCAAAAAGTATGGGAAAATACAGAAAATACAAATTATATAAAAACTGCAACTGTTCACATTTATGTATATGGATTTGCATAAGGAAATTACCTGATAGAGCTATAGATGGTCAGTGGGGTTTGATCCTTTTCTTTGGCTATCCTCATCATATCTAACACTGCCATCCCAAGACATTCTTCCTGTGTTTCATGAGTCACAGGTACTTTTATCCATCCATGCAAAAAATCATGCCGCCACTAAAGGAAAAAAAAATTTAGAAAGAAATATAAGTTTCACTATCGCATTTTAATTTACTATCATATTTTAACCTATAACCTAATTTCCAGGACATACATGTTTGAAAAATGAGAAATCAACTCCTCCCTTGATTTTCAATCATTTTGCCATAAAATTTTAGTAAAAGTTCTTTTGCAAATGGAAACTGATTTAAATTGGGTTCCCAGTTATAGCATACATATGACACAACCTATTTCACTGCTGATATCTTTAGATTATATCTTCTACATCAAAATTACCTAAATTACAATAGATATTAATTAATTAAATAGGTACAGAGTTCAAAGCATTATACTGAGGACTGTGTTGGATACAAAGAAATATAAGATGTGGTCTCAGCCCTCAAGCAGACAAAAATCTAGCAAGAAAGCAAAACATGTAAACAAAAAATTATAATGCCAGATACTGTATAGTAAGTGCCACACAACATATGCTTCAGGAACTTAAAGGAAGTTGAGAGAATATCCACTTGGGGTAATTAGGGAAGATTTCATGGAAAATTCAAAATTTCATGTATTCTTTGAAGATGAAGAAATTTCTGATGGACACAAAACAGGGTGAGGAAATAGAAGAAATGATAAAAACAAAGCACAAGGCATGTTCAGAGATACAAACTAGTTTGGCTGGGGCACACAATTTACGTAAGAGAACAGAGTGGATTAAAATTTGGAAAAGTAAGTTGGGGTGAGCCTGCACATACCCTTGAATGACTTGATCCTAGAAGCAACAGAGAACCATTTTCTCAAAGCATCCGTTTCTTAAAGCATCTTTTCTTAAAGCATCATGACTCTTTCATTGGTAGAAGTACCAATGACAGAAGTACTTTAAGAAAATAAAGTGTATTCAGGGAGACTCTTTAAGAGGCTGCGGTAAGGGGCTGGCCCTGTGGCTTAGCGGTTAAGTGCACGCATTCCGCTACTGACGGCCTTGGTTCGCATCCCAGGCACGCACCGATGCACCGCTTCTCCGGCCATGCTGAGGCCACATCCCACATACAGCAACTAGAAGGATGAGCAACTATGACATGCAACTATCTACTGCGGCTTTGGGGAAAAAAAAGGAGGAGGATTGGCAATAGATGTTAGCTCAGAGCCGGTCTTCCTCAGCAAAAAGAGGAGGAT